TACTTTTTATACGTTTCTGTCATTGAAATGTATGAAGGCTTAGAACTAGGGTAGCAGAGTAGTTTTGTCTTAGTTTAGGTTTTAACCCATTTGACTTTTTTCATTCTCGTAGCTTGCTATCGTTGACTACTGTGTATCTTTCTCTTCATGTTTCCCCTTTTTAAATTTAGTCGGATCTTTCTTTTCTGTATATATGCAGAGATTTTAACGCAAGGATATATTTGCAGGGATTACTTCCCATTACAGATCACGCATATGAATACTACATATGATGACTATTTCAACTATGTATTTATGTATTAATTTATAAATGCATTGTATTTTATCTTTATTTTTAATTTTTTGACTGCCAGAGGTCTTCCACAGAAGCTGCTCTCAACCTGGTGTTGGGGGCAGCCTACTACCCTACCTCCCCCTTACCCCATTGTATATGGGAATAGGGATTTGTTGTTGTTTTTGTTATTGTTTTGGACCTCAATAGGGCCTTTAAAGGGGATTTGAGAAGTATTTTCATGCCTAAGTAAGACATCTCTGGGTTTGGGTATCGATACTGGAAGAAAAATATCGATACTTTTTTGCAAGGAATAAAAGGAGATAATTTTAATATAGAAGTATCAATACCAATGGTACAATATCGATACCCCCTCATAAGAGTATCGATAGTTGGGGTATTTTTTAAAATATTGAAGTAAAATTTGGTATTCAAAGATTATCGATACTCTAGCTCGAGAGTACCAATATTAGCCTAGCAATATCGATACTACTCACCATTTTTCAGTTGGTTTTAACCTTATGCTATCGATACCTCGGGATGAGTACCGATACCATCATACATTTTTAGACAAGTAATCTAAATGAAATAAAAGAAAAGTTGAGGGACCCCAGAGCACTAATTTTTTTTCTAAATAAGATTACTATTGAAAACGATAGTAAAGATACAATTACAGTTAGAAACAATATCAATTAGGGCAACCTAAAACTAGCCTTGGTTGATGCTCAAAAAAAAATGATCAAGAGACTCGAGTTATTTTAGCAGATGAGAATAACTTCAGAGTATAGATTATATGGATATCCTTAGGTAGGGCGCGAGGACCCTTTGAGACTAGTAAGGGCGCGAGGACTGAATACCCACTAGGGGTAGGTTAATTGGGTGTTGTATCCTATGTAGAGATTATGGATCTCACCTAGGTAGACTAGAGGGGTTCATGAGCTTTGAGATCCAGAAATCCCTCTATTGCACCGTGATGCTTACTCCTAAGTAGGGTGAGTATGTGAGCATACTTACTTTATTTAATAGCACTTGATAACATGAGCATTAATGAAAACTTTTAGTATGGTTTTGTTATTAGTATAATTCTATTGTTAGTGTGGCACTGAGCTAGTGAGCTTAGCGTTCAAAATTTTTTTACATGCAATGTCGTTAGGAGGAGCATTCAAGAAGCATATCACGACTGAGGACGTTCCAAACATCTATAGTAGCAGTGTAAGTCTTGATTATTCTTTTAGAGGGCATGAATTATTTATAGATCCATGTTTTTTACTCAAGTTGTAACTTTATTTTAAACTCAATGATGTAATATTTTTGGTAGCTCCCGATGCAAACCTTATTTTAATGGTAAAGATTTTGTAACACTTTGAATCCCGGGTTTGTAGTTCGGGTCTACCCGAGATCCAAATTTGAGCCCAAAAGACTTTATAAAACATCTAAACCAGTTTTATATTAGTGAGCTTGTGTTGGTCCTAAAAGATTGGGTGATAGGTGATTAATGTTTTATGTAAGAGAAAGTAGAGGGGCTAATAGTATAATTTTTCCCTTATTGTTTTAAAGTTGAAAACCTCCTCTTTTTATAGCATGTTTACGTGAACAACCCCCACCATTTTCTCACCAAACACTCCTCTCTTCTTATTCATCATTTTCTCTTTTCTTCTTCCTTTCTTAAGTGAAAAGTTTTAAGGATTCAAGCTTAGTTTGTTTTAGCCAAGGTAAGACTGTTTCTCTCCATCCTTCAAGCTTTGTTTCAAGCTCCATTTTTTTGTGAGTTTTATAATTTGTTTTCAAAATGGGTTTTACTTGAAGGTAAGGTAGATCCTAGTTGATTCAAGAGGAGTTTAGCAACCAAGAAGGCCAGGTAACACACTTATAGCTTTCTAATACCAAGTGTAGATCATATAAAGTTAAGATGTGTTAGAAAGTTAAGTTTAAAGCATGTTTAGCAATTTCCATGATAGATTGTTCATTTGATGTTATAAGCATGGTATAAAGCCTTATTTATGCTCCTTGTACTCACATAAAACTTTAAGCATGTTTGGGTACCTCACTAAGGTCTTTAGGATTAAGAAATATAGTTTTTTGTACTTGTTTTATGACTTTTATAGGTAAAGTATCGATAATATAGGGATAATATCGATACTTGTTCTTCATTTTGGGTGAATTAGTGAGTTTTTGGGCAAGAGTATCGATACTCTTTCAAGAGGATTCGAAACTTTGGGTCATAGTTTTGAATCTCCCAGAAAGTTTTGAAACTGGGCAGAACAAAATGTTTAAAAGTATCAGTACTAATATAAAGTATCGATACTCCATGGATAGTATCGATACTTTCAGTCTGTATTGAGCAGTAAAGGCAGTTTTTTAGCATTTTAGACTCGAGGTACCCCAATACTTTAGTAATTCTTCTAATAAGACTACAAGTGAGAACGTTAATATTATTTTCAAATTCATAAACAAGATAAAGTTAGGAGAAATAAACTAACCTTGTTTGAATACTCGGGAAAACAACCATGACACCTGAGTTCCTTTAGAAAAGCTAACAGAATCGATATTATAGATTCAATCTGGATATCCTTAGGTAGGATCGAGGCTCTTCTGACTAACTATGTTTGCCAAGGCCCTAACACTCTTTAGAAGAAAGGGTAGGTTAGTCAAGGGTATGGTTTCCGATGCAAAGACTTTTAAGTGTCCATATTCAGGGTAGATTAGAGGGGTGTATGAGCTTCGAGATGCAGAACCCTCAGCCACACCATGATATCTACTATAGCTTAGAGAGTGAGTATTCAAGAATACTCACTAAAGCAATTTTAAAGCATACTAGCTTGGGCGCAAGGTCCAACACTCACGAAGTGTGCTAGTAGAACATATAATAGTAGACCTTATACCAGTAGACTTGATATCTTGAGCTTTTCAGTGATGCAGTTAGTATGCTTTAACCATTAGTGTGGCGCTTCCATGGGCAGGTTAGTAGATCAAGCAGTTTGGAAGCAGTAGATAGACCAAGGTCCAAACTAGTCCAGTACATATCAGATGTACGTCTCAATGTTTTTATTTGGCATTAATATTTGTAAACATTATTGTCCAGTTGAGTCGTAGATTCAGTCAAGTTGGTCTGTAATATTTTTGAAGTGTAAATATTTTATTTTGGAGCTCCTTAGTGAAAAGATGATTTTTTTAATTATATTTCAGTTTATTTTATAGTTGGTTATAATGGTCGTTTTAAAGAATGAGAAATTAAGTTTAAAGTTGGTTAGAAACTTCGGTGGTTCCCGTGTGACATCCTACATCGATTGACTGTGTGTTGTACTGGTCTAGGGTGTTACATTTAGTAGTATCAGAGTATCAGGTGTGACGTTCCTAAAGCCCGCAGGTCAATGTCGGTAAAAGAGTTTATGAGTATACATGCCCTACAGAGTTATGTCGTACTTTCTGCATCTGCAATAGTATAGAGCTCAGGCCACAGTAGATGTGAGTTTAAAGTGTAAGTTCGATAGATTAAACTTAGAAAGGAAGATAAGAGTAAGATAGTGATGTTCAATGAGAAGCCCAAGTGTTTAAAGTTTATTTCGGCCATTAGGGCACATAAGATTTTCTCTAGTGAAGGTTTCAAGACCATAAGGTTGAGGAAGCAGTTGGTTAGTGTAGATGAGTATTAGATTAGAGTTGCGCAACAGAATCATACAAGTTGCTTTCAGTAGAAGTTTTGGCAAGTGTCATCAGGTCTCAGAGTTGTCTTTGCCCATTAGATAAAGAGGTTAGTAAAGAAAGTTTTGGCGTTAGCAGTGAGTTGTGGAGTGTCATTAGGATTCTTCTATCCGTTATGACCTAGTTTAGGAGAGAGAGTTTCAGCCGATGCTTTTAAGATAGGGGTTCGACTGTTCAGACCTCAGAGTTAGATGTTCTAGTGGTCATTACATGTCATAGATGCCCAATAGAGTTTCAGAGTAAAACCTTTCTCTAGGGAAATTTCGAAGATGAAATTTCCTATTAGGAGGGGAGGGTTGTAACACCCCGAATCCTGGGTTAGTAGTTCGGGTCAACCTGAGACCTAAAGTTAAGCCCAAAAGACTTTATAAAATAGTTAAACCAATTTTATGTTAGTTGGCTTGTGTTGGGCCCAAAAGATTGGGTGATAGGTGATTAGTGTTTTATGTAAGAGAAAGTAGAGGGGCTAATAGTGTAAATTTCCCTTATTATTTTAAAGCTAAAAACCCTCCCCTTTTTATATCATGTTTACGTGAACCACCCCCGTCATTTTCTCACCAAACACTTTCTCTTTTTCTTCATCGTTTTCTCTTTTCTTCTTCCTTTCTTAAGTGAAAAGTTTTAAGGATTCAAGCTTAGTTTGCTGTGGCCAAGGTAAGAATGTTTCTCTTCATCCTTCAAGCTTTGTTTCAAGCTCCATTTTATGAGTTTTAGAATTTGTTTTCAAAATGGGTTTTTCTTGAAGGTAAGGTAAATCCTAGTTGATTCAAGAGGAGTTTAGCAACCAAGAAGGCTAGGTAACACAGTTATAAGCATGTTAGAAAGTTAAGATCATGGAAAGTTAAGATGTGTTAGAAAGTTAAGTTTAAAGCATGTTTAGCAATTTCCATGGTAGATTGTTCATTTGATGTTATAAGCATGGTATAAAGCCTTATTTATGCTCCTTGTACTCACATAAAACTTTAAGCATGTTTGGAGACCTCACTAAGGTCTTTGGGATTGAGAAATAGAGTTTTTCATACTTGTTTTATGACTTCTGCATGTAGTCAGTTTTGTCATATCCATGAGGATCAAATACATCTTTGCCGAAGCAAGACCCTATCTGATCAATATCTTGATACTGCACAGCATGCAGTAAAAAGTCGGGGTTCCTATAATCCTTCTTATTACAAACTTCCGCATTGTAGCTTTTTCCAGATCGCTTCAAGTAGAGAAATGTGTCTATTCTCCTCTCCAATAACGTAACAGAAAGAATGAAGGTCATTTAAATATGTTCATTAAGCCAAAATGGAAAAAAGAATGCAACCAGAACATGCATGAGCTACCCATCTTTTTGTTAGAAGAAAAAAGAGAGATGAAATTGAATCAATCAATACCAATGAAGTTCATACTTCAAAGCAGCCAGTGATGTTGCACAAATATAACCTGACCCCATGAAAAGCAGCATAAAACCATCTGCAGCTTAAAGGGTGCCAAGGATCAGCAGATCTTGTGATAGCAAACTTAAAAACTTAAACTAAGTACCTTACTTTACATATAAATAACATAAAACTTGCAACACGGAATATTCATCTACCTCAACAGTACACCATGTAGGTAGTTTTACAAGGGCAACATAAGGTTAACACCAGGTTGTAAAAATTACACCCAAAGAAGTATAATTACCTTCTGCTATCATAAAAAAGACACTTGTAACTCCTCTGAACACTGGTCCTGTGATGGCGGTGGAAGAAACTTATCCAAGCGATCAACTTTGTCTATAGCTGACTCAGTAATAGCGTTGTTTGCATCAGGTTGTTATGGTTCTACATCGGGTGATTCCAGTGTTCCCTGAACAGCCCCTGGAGATGTTTTTCCTTGAAAATCAACTGAAAACAAATAGTAAATTGGAAAGAAGGCGCTTTCAAGAGTAACATTTGAAGTTAAATTTATCATAAGAAAAAGTAAATAAGTAGTTAAGTACCATTAGCAATCTGATGCTCTAAACCAAACATAAGATCATCATTGCTTCCTAATTCTCCTTCCTACACTTAAAAATAAAAAATCAATATAACCACAAGTCATTAAACGAGGATATTTTTCTTCTCAAAAAAGACCATGCCTTTGGGGAGCAGCTTCATCGTGGCCGTAATCAACAATGTTAAGCTTTCCTCGGCCACTACTTTTCGAAGAAACTAGTCGTTGGTGTTGAGAAGTGGAGGTTTGGTGCGGAAACGGCAGTATATTGTTGTCAGTTTTCGAATCTTCTTCCATTCTGTCTTATTCTCCGTGGTCATTTTCTTCCAGAGGCGGTTTGATCATGTAATTCTTCAGCTTGTTGGCAGTGATCTTCTTCGATGTCTTCCATATCTTCGTCATCCTCGTCGTTGTATATGGACAGCAAGGCAATTCCTTCGGATTATTTCTTCCTCGGCGCCATGGAATCTAGGATTCCGAAGGGATTTTCAACTAAACTGTGGAAGACAGTGGAATTAAAAGCGTAAAGGATTACGGAATTGGATAGAGCTGTAAATGAAAGATACATGAATGTCGAGATTGATTTGAATTTTTAACGAGCCTAAACCAACTGCTCCGTATTAAAAAAATGCTGTTTAACTTAAAAATATAATATATTAAAATTTTATTTTTAAAAATAAATTATTAATAATATGATATTTATATATTGATTTTAAAAGAGAAATGTAGTATAAGATTTTTATGTATTTAAGGTTTAAGTTTGAGTTTCAATTCATGATTTTCAATTAATTCATGATTTAGATGGCGTCATAAAATAACCGAGATGAAGTTGTCGGGTGCCACTGCAAAAGATATACAGATAAGGATACATCTGTTCTTTTATTATTATTTTTAAAAAAATTAAACTTTATATATATTAACTTTGATATTTAATATTTACAGTTTTCTTGACTTTCGTATGCTGATGACGAGATCTACTAGTTATTGTCACTGTAATTTTTTTAGGGGTCTAATTTATGGTGTGTCGGGACGCCGTTATTACATTTTGCGATTGTTATGTGGCACACCGTTGATAGAGTACTACGACAGTAAGCGTCGCATCAGCCAATTCCTACGCAAATCGTTGAGATGAACGCGCTCCATTGAATTGATACACATGGGAAACATACCAAAAATTGGTCGGTGAAGCATGCTTACTACATCGAGCTATGGAATCAACGACACCTATCGCTCCCACTGCGATACGAAATTACACTGCTAGACCTAGATTTTGACCATTCTCTCAATCTTCGAAATTACGAAGCAAATGAGAAACCATATCTCATGACACCACAATGGAGGGGAGAATGGGAACAATATCAAGCCATATTCTCCAAGTCCAAGAAGAAATCATCGACGTCTTCTTCTGCTTCAGCATCTGCAGCTGAAGATTACTATTATGCATCTCAGGCTAGTTTCGGTTTTTATCCTGCATATCATACTTCAACCGAGACTCAACCGACTTGGGTTGGAGTTTCATGGAATGCAATGCAACACACTCAAACATCTTCGACAGAACATGCGGGTTGAGGGTGAATGAGATCGTATCATATATGGTTAATAACATAGCCACCAAGTCGATTCAGTAACGACAATTATGGAGTCAAATACCATAAGCTCATCATTGTATTTCGAAAGTGGATCTCAAAGTTTGTTAAGTACACCTCCTTGGTAAGATGAAGACGACGACGACAACAATCAAGGCCGATGATCCCGACATACTCGACAATTCCCGTGTCATTATCATTCAACCACTCATCGGCATCGTCAATAACTTATAAAATGTAAATAAATATTATTAGTTTATAATCAATGTTATTTTAATTAAAATTATTATTATTTTAAATTAATTTATCATTTTTTAAAATTTAACTCTAGAAAACTCATCACCTCGACGTGACGAGTTCCGTAGTGAACGTTGCACAACGACTACAAAACAACTAGTTTTTTAAATTTGAATGAATCTTTTTTTTTAAATTTCTAATTTTAAAATTTTTTTAATAATAAAAAATAATATTTTATTAGACTTGTCACGTCAAGGTTACGAGTCCGCTTAAAAATAATAAATTAATGGCCCACGTGGGACCAACTCATCCAAAAAAAATTAGCTGACCCTTATTCCCATATGTAATGGGGTAAGGGGGAGGCATGATAGTAGGCTGCCCCCAACGCCAAGTTGAGAGCAACTTCCGTAGGAGACCTTCAAATTATGAAATGCCCTCCGTGGGACTCGATCCCACAACCCCAAGATTAAAAATCTTGTGCTCTACCAACTGAGCTGGATGGTCACATGGACCAACTCATCTGATTCTATTAAAAAATAATATTTCATAGCAAATGTCATATATCCCTAATTAAAATCTAAAGATTGATAAAACCCTAAATTTTAAATCTAGATACCCTATTGGGTCAAAAAAGTCGGGCTAGATACATGATCTGAAAGTGGGCTGGATCCATAATTAAGCCATTTCTTTTATATTTAACAGCGGATTATATTTCTAATTGAACACTGGATCAGCTTTGATCGATATTGAATATAATGATTACACAAATTTGAAAGATTTCTATTTATCTCATTTTATTGAAATGAGCCAAGTTCTATTTTAAAAATTTAAAAACTAGTTTAAATATATATATATATATATATATATATATATATATATATATATATATATATATATATATAATTATGAATACATATTATTTTATAATAATTTTAAATTATTAAAAATTATAATTTTATTTTTAAAATAAAATAATTAAAAATGTATGTTGACATACATATCTTTTACTACTAAATTATTTATTAAACAAAATTATGTAAATATATTTAACATAAAATATTCTCTCACCTATATTATAGGTGTGGTATGATTTAGTATTATAATAAATATTCTCTTACTTACAACATAATATAATTATGTTACATTATTATTTATTAATGAATACAAAAATTAATTTTTTAAATATACGAAAATACATACTCAAGGTGAAGAGACGCGTCAATTAGTGGTGATCTCTTTCTTTACCATCGTCGGTAAATAGTGGCCAGCATCGACCAACGATGGTCGTTGCAATGGCGCCTCACTTGATTTTGGGAAAGGACTAACAGTTGGGGGGAGAATTTTACCAAATGATTTAAAAGAAGTACAAAATGAGAGATTATGGTTTTTTTTTGCCTTGTGTGGCGTTTTATACTACCTTAGGGTGCGTTTGGTTCATAGAATGTAGCATTACCTCTGGGAATAAGATTACCAGAATGTAAAATTACCTAACACGTTACTGGGAATGTTGTATTGTTGTGTTTGGTTCGTTTAGCATTAATGTAAGATTACAGTGTTTGGTTAAAGGAATAAAAGATTATTGGAATGTATATTTTACCAAATTGTCCTTATTATATACTTGTTTTTTTAACAAATTGAATTCTAAATATTCAAATGAAAATATTTGTATACAAGATCATAGAAAATATATAATCCTACTATTTTTAATTTATATAGTTTCTTTAAAAATTTTAAATTCATAAAATTTATTTAATTTTTTTTACAAAATTTAAAAGATAAATAGGTTTAATGAAATGGTTTAATTTTATTTTAACCCCTGAACTTCATATAAAATTATAATTATGGACTTTTTTTTTGTAAATCTAAAATAGTTTAAGAATAAATTTGCAATTTAACCTTCGTAGAATTTGTTTTATTCAACGATAGAAGAATGATATTTTTGAAAGACAAAAATTATTTTAAGGGCATTTTAGTCCAAAACGTCAGAAAATGAGAAATACCTAAGGGATTGGGGGAATCACATTCCCGGTAATAAGCCCCCAAAATATCACTATTGGGAATGGCTTATTACTGGAGGTTGGGAATCTTTACAATCCAAACGGGGGAATCACAGTCCGAAAAAAATTTTTGCCCCGATAATCTCACAATCCCCCATCCAAATGCACCCTTAGTACAACGACATTTAGAAAGAGGAGGGGAACTGCGAAGCAGGACCAAGGGATATCTACATATCTGGTCCTTGCATTTTGTAAGCTTTTTATTTTAGTCACTAATTGAAATTGTGATTTCTTTTAATTTGGCCTTTGAACTTCATGTGATTTATATTTCAGTCACTACTTGTTTATTAATATATTTTGATTAAATTACTAATCATGGTTAATATTTATGTATTTATTTTATTTTAGTCACTATGTATTTTGTTTGCATGTTGGGATAAATATCTGGCTTGATTAATGATGTCAGTCCTTCGGGTATGGTTTGTAAGAAAACGTTTTATTGATATTTTAGATCCCTCTTAGATTGTTGCATGTTTATTTTGGTCATCATTTTAATTAAGTTATAATGCAAATAACATGGATTAATAACTCAATGGGTCTATATTTTATTTAATTATTTATTTTGATTAAGCCCAATGTTCATCTCTTATGTTTTAAAGGTGTATATGTCTAACATAATTTGTTTTGTTAGTCTAATTTTATATTATTAATTCGAACGCAAAAATTAGTCACAATCTGTACAAAAATCACAAATTGATATTGATACATATGTTAGTATTGTACTAACATAAATACATTTCCAAAACAAAATCCATAATCATACTTGAAACTTATTCACTATCAAAACACTTCAACACTTATTAATTCTTTCAATATTGGCACCAACTTTTCCAACTTATATAAAAAATGGTCCTTCGTCATTTTACCACTTAAACTTTCAATACCAAAAATTCCAGCATTGATATAATCACAAACCAAGTGTATTTACAAAGGCACAATTACATTTAAACACCCCAACTATTCGAATATTGCCTAAAAAATCACTAAACTTTCCAAAGTTCCATAATGATCAAATTTCACATCCTAACACTCATTTCAATTCCCACACAACAATTTCCAGTATAGTACATCAACTATTAAACAATTACACAATAACCCACCATTTTTCCAAAATTGTCAATTTGGCCCTCAACTTTTTGAAAATTACTAAATGGTCCCTAAAATTTTCTAATGCTTGTAGAATACTTCCTACATGATTTACAGCCCTGACATAATTTTTCTCATCCATTTAAGCCATGGTTGAATGTTCCAAAGTCCTAAAAACTAGGGTTTTCATGATTTTGCTCAATTTTGATTCGATTCAAGCATGAAATCAACCTCCATCCAAACTTACAACATCTCTACAATCAAAGACCTAATCAAATTTTATCAAAACACAAAGTTCCACGACTCTACAATTTGATCAAAAATTATGGAA